TATACAAAAGTACATACAAGAGGAAGTGAGGGGAAGGGGAAAAATAATACAAGGGGGACAAACGAATGTCAGTAGAGGGGGCAGAGAGAGAAGAGGGGAGGGGAGGGGAGGGGAGGGGGGATAGTAGAGGATAGGAAAGACAGCAGAATACAACAGACACTAGTATGGCAATATGTAAATCAATGGATGTGTAACTGATGTGATTCTGCAATCTGTATATGGGGTAAAAATGGGAGCTCATAACCCACTTGAATCAAAGTGTGAAATATGATATATCAAGAACTATGTAATGTTTTGAACAGCCAACAATAAAAAATTTAAAAAAAAAAAAAAAGATGATGCTGGATTGATTCAATTGTATATTAGACCTTTACTGTTCCCCTCAGCCTGCTACTTCGGAGTTCTCTCGGGGATTCCTGGAGAGTTCACATTGGTTGGGGAAGTGCCAGAGGAGGGATTTCCGGTTGGTAGTTCCTGGAGGAGCGGTGTGGGTGGCGTTTGGGAGAGTTCCCGGGGAGCGTGTGTGGAGTGTGCTGGTGGAGTTCAGAAATAAAGTTTGTTCCTGCTTCAGTGGCTCGTGATTTGAGCCCAGCCAGACTGTGGCAGGAGTTATCCAGAATGCCCATTTTCTGGAGCCTTCTTGATCACTCCAGCACCTACAGACCTGTGTCTGCTCTGCACACCTCTCACTCTCTGTCCTTGGAACTCAGCCCAAACTACACCATGACAGGACCTTGTGGCATTCCTTGACTTTCTGTTTCATATTTCTTGTTAATTCTGTAAATTTTCACCTAACTTTTTAGCTGTATATACCATATCTCTTCAACCCAATCATGGCTCCTGAGAGCTGAGAACCAGCATTAGAACTTTTGCGTTCTGTCAGGACACATACTCACAGGTGGCACCAGGGAGGAGCGACGAATCTCTGCCCAAAAAATACATGAATGGAAGGTGGAGGCTCACAGGCTAGAGATGGGATCGTGCAGAAATTCACAACTTGCAAATGTGGACTGTGACAATGCTTTCTAGAACGTTTCAAGATTCACAGCCAATGGACTCTTTTCAACCTAAATGCAGCAATGAAGACATAGCAGGCTATGCTGCTGTGGGGGGGCTAGGGGAGAACATGTTTTGGGGTGTCAAAAATGTTCTGACTGGAATATGGTGGTCACACAACTGAGTGTATCTGTCAAAACATAAAGAACTGTACCCCCAAAAGGGATCAGGGCCCTATATTTCACTTAACATATATGATCTCAGATGAAAAAAGCAGATCAGTGCCTGCTCAAATTTTGAGAATATCCCGAATGCTGGTGACTAGGACAGAATAGTAGTAAGCTTTGGTTTTCTGGGCCAAGATCTAGAAAGCC